TGACTAATTCAATAATTAAGCATGGATACCATTAATAGAATAGGCGTCACAATTGATAATCTATATTCTCCAGACTTATTTGCTAAATGAAGACTTTCTAACTCCTAAACTCCTTCGCTAAATAAAGACTTTCTACATATTCAATAATTATTGTAAATATCGAACATCGTTGTGGTTATTTTTTAATAGTTGATCAAATTATTTTTTGAAGAACGAGTAACTTTACGTAGTAATTCGAGATCTTTGAAAATTTCATCAATAGATACAACCTCTGCATTTTCTTCTTCATAGTTTGAAAACTGATGAATATTTTTTACATATAACAATACTTATGCTATTATTCAACTCAACATCTAATTCTGATTTTCGGTGTTAATTTCAATGTCAATTTCTTGGACTTGTAGTGGACAATAGATTTATTAAATAGACCAAATGCGCTATTTGTTTTTTTTTGTAAGGATTGAAATTCGAAATTTGAATATGAATCTATATTTTCTACAGCCGAAGAGTCATTTTCATGTCGCAAACTTATATGACCCTCATTTTGGAATTAGCAAAATAGCTTTATAAAATTGATAATAAGGTTGAATAGAGTGTTTTTGCCTTTTATTTTATGTGGCGGCTTATGCTAAGATTGGCTTAAGCTGAGATTCACGTGATCTGCATCAATGAGATCGAATTCGTCTGTTTCACCGACAGTTATTTCACTGAATTTTGATTCTAAACAACACTAACTTTAAATTGAGCTACTCTAATTAGCGTTAACACCGTATTGTTCTGACATTCGTGCAACCATTTACTAAATCTTCTAGTTCTTTCATTTTTTTGATAGTTATATTCTAATTTCTCTCTTCTTAGCTTTAGTTCCTGGACCTTAGACTTAAAGCACTTTACACTGTCTTTTAAATATTTTATTTTATGACTTATTTCATTATCTTGGTCGACCTGATTTGATTCTGATTCATCAGAGACAAAATTCACAGAGATATGAACTTTTTTATTATAATCGAGCAGTATTTGGTCTCTCAGATTTGTAATCTCTATTTTGATTAGTTCTTGATTTATACATTCTTTTTCATTTCTTGAATCATTTAATTCGTTAACTTGGATGTTGATTTTAGTACTATCATCAATCAAAACGATTTTATTTTTTCCACATTCAATCGAAAATTTGTGATCGCCCAGGATTTGTTCTTCATTGTTGTTGAATTGAAATTGGTTGTGGATTAATGTTTTCGAATAAGAGGATATTTTATTAATTTCCACAAGTGTGTTATTATTTATATTGGTATATTTCTCATTGTCATCAATTTTGTTGCTGATAATTATGGAAATATCAAAACACAATAAATTTAAAAGCTGAAGTTGATTTATTAATTTCAAAAATCTTCTATTAACAAATCTACTAACTGACTCTTCGAAAAAAGTGTTTAATTTGGCATTGTGAAATGGATCGTTAAAGTAATTGATTGAATCTGTCACTTTTGTCGAAATGGGATTGGAAAAGGACATATTACTATAAAAAGAGAATCTTATTATATTACTAATCTGGTTTCTATGCTTACGGAGTGTTAAGATAAAGCAGAATATATTAAAGTAAAATTTAATATTAAAGGTTAGGATTTGGCCAATCTGATATAAATGATATTTAAACCTAGTAAAAAAGGAAATGATGGTCTTCTCAGAAAAAGGCTGAAATAACCGTATTAGCGTTTGCTCTAATGAACATTCTATAATTTTTTTGATGCTTGTAAGATTGTCATTTTTGTTGAAAGAGATAAATTTCATAAAATGCATTGTGCCTTTATAAACCAAGGATTCTACATCAATAAAGGTTGGCATTTGTTTATTTCTCTATTATCGGAGTGATTAGATTCTGATTCGTAGATAGTTTTCTTAAATAATATCAAAAATCTGACAACAAGACTGGGAAACAGCAAGTGAGGTAGAATCAAATTATTATTTTTCAATAGTAAAATCAAAGATGCGAAAATCAAAGAAGCAAAGATCAAAGAAATCAAAGAAATTATGGTCAAAAAATTAAGGAAAAAAAGATAACGGTGGTTGTATAGGTGATTCTTAGCAAAAGTGCTAAAAGCTTTAAAATGTTTCTTGACATTTTGTAGTTTAACAGTTAAAAATTGATGAGAATTAGATCTTACATGTTCCTTTTAATAGGGTTTTTTCATAAATAAACTTGTTCAAATAAGGATAATTAATTCATTTTTGTTTTAATTTATGCCATTTTCGCCGCGGCTATTCGTATTACCTATTTTACAAAACATTAAAATGAAACTCCGAGTTCTGTATGATATACAGCATTTTGTTATAACGATTAATAATATTACAGTATAATATATAAAGCAGATCTTTTACGCAATTATATGCATTAAAATATATCAGATAACATAATTTTTTAATTAAAGAATTTTTCAGCCTAAAGAAAATTTGCAAAAAATAATTTATCTATTGCTAGAATTTAATGATATATAAATTCTTTGTGCACTATTGTAAAAGGCTTTGTTCAAGGGTAAATATGCTTGTTTGAATAAGAAGACAATTAATTCATTTTTGTTTTAATTTATGCCATCTTTGCCGTGGTTATTCGTATTACCTATTTTACAAAACATTAAAATGAAACTCTGAGTTCTGTATGATATACAGCATTTTATAATAACGATTAATAATATTGTCACGCTTTTCTTCGAATAATCGTGACTTGTAGTAACGAGAACGTGTATACTGTAAGGAGGGGATGTGGCGAAGGCTTGGAAGTTTAGATTTATACAAATATTTATTTTATTCGTCATCTTTGTTTATTTTTATATCTATAGATTCTTTATATTTGTTTATCGTATGTTTGTTATATTGAGGCATAGAAGTAAGCTAAAGTTAACGTAGGAAGGTTAGTTACATAGAAAAGCCTTCGAAAGGTACCGACCAGTACCAAAGCTTAGTAAAAAGTCTGGAGAATATAGATTATCAATTGTGACGCCTATTCTATTAATGGTATCCATGCTTAATTATTGAATTAGTCA